CTCTTGCGGAGCTTTGCTTCTTTCCGCAGCAGTTTGTCCTTCATCTTGGTGACCTGCTCCTCTGTGTGCGTCTTGTTGTAGCGCGATACAGCAGGTAATGAGGGCTTTTTAAATACCTTCTGAGAGCCAACAAACATCTTCTCATGCACCTTCTCTGGGGGAACCACATGACCTGCCAAACAACAACATGCCTAATTGGTCTGACGAACTTGGAGCAATTTACATTCACTGCGTGTACATTGAAATGATACATCGTCTTAGGAAAAAGCACAAGTGATAATATCTTTACTGTAAAGAGATCTTGAAAAAATAAAAAGAACATTTCATACTATAATTCCAGATTGACATTTGACCAGCATGGCAACGACATGATCTACTAGGTACATCCTAATTGGCTCTAACACGGGTGAACACAATTTAAGAGTTTCCCAGCACACATATTCATCAAAGCCAATCGGACTTCCCATTTTAAAATGGATTTCCTTTGAATGATTAAATACTGTTGATTATTCAAAGCTTTTGTTGGCACATGGGTTTTATTGCTCTGCCAATGTGTGAGCAGGAAATAAGCTTCATGTGCCTGGATACTTTAGGCTCAGTTATCTGACCTCAGATCAATGTTTCACCCGAGATCATTTTCAAACCGAGCCAACCTTGTGCAATTTCAAACTCTAAAATCTCATTCAGCAAACTGAGAGAATCTAACAGAATGGAGGTCCACCATCTCAATTATGCTGGTCATTTTAAGAATTGTACATGAGCAATACTCACATTTGATGAGTCTCTCTCCCATGAGGTAATTGTTCATGGTCTCTGCAACAATTTTGGCAACTTCATCACAATCAAACTCAATAAACGCATAGCCTTTGCTGCCACCTGTCTGAGATAAGGAGACGAGTGAGAGATGAATATCACAGCAATAGTTTCACAGCATTCACATCATTTAGATCAAGGCCAGTTGGCGTATCTTTGAGATGCGTTTCCATTTACCGATTCAATATTGGAAATAAATGCAATGCTTTTGTTGGCACATGGGTTTTATCGCTCTGCCAATGTATGAGCAGGAAATAAGCTTAATGTGCCTGGATACTTTAGGCTCAGTTATCTGACCTCAGATCACTGTTTCACCTGAAATCTTTTTCAGACCGAGCCAACATTCTGCAGCGTTACTTCAAACACTCCTGTCAGACATCATCTCAAACAACAAACATAGGAGATATTGACTTCTAAACATAAGTTACCAATCTTAAAAATATCTTGTGAATGCTCAATAAATAAAATGCCCTGAATCAGACTTTGTGTTTGTACTTTCATCCGTTTTACCTTTTTACTCCTGGACAGCCGCAGCCTCAGGACTTTCCCAAATTGTTCGAAGTAAGGTTTGAGCTGAGGCTCGAACAGCCCGTGAGGAAGGTGACCCACATAAACCACTCCAGGGGCCAAATGGCTCTCCTGTAAACAAAAAAATAAAAATGAATGATATAATAAAATAAACAAGAGGGCAAAGATACAAATTGTTATAAATCAACATTTCTACACGTGTAGTCAGTTTGCCTCTTTCAAAATACCCAGAAAAAAGACACTAAAATGGATGAAAAATACTTATTTTTCTCTTGTGGGGATTATTATATAATACAACCATGTTTCATCAACTTTGTTGTTCCTAAATAAATATATCTATACATCAATATCTGTTTTTATTTGTATATTTTTTTGGAGGAAGTGACATTTTGTGTCATGTTGACATTTTGACTAATGTATTCAAACGCTTCAAGTCAAAATAAAAATCATAAACGTTTTTTTTTTATTCTGTATAGTATTGATATAGTCATATCATGTAGGAGATCATTATAGCTTTGGAGCCGAATAACCCTTTCTAAAATATTTAGAATGTTTAGGAAGGGTAGAAAAGTAATGTTTCTGCTTCTGCATTTATCAAAATGTGAGACCTGTCCAAACATGAGGCCTAATGTTACTATGAAGCCATCTTATACAAGAAATACATAAGACATACTAACAACTTTCGCAGTGCCGGACTTAATTTGTGCTACATAACGAAGAAGCAATTATGAAACACATGTATCTAAAACAGCACCAACAATACTGTTTAAACATGGTAAAAGAGCTAACGTCAGTTCCATAGCGGAAATGTTAAATTAGGGCACAACTTTATCCCACGGGTACGAAATATGTCGTAACACCGGTTACATCTAAAGAGAATTAGACAGTGTAGGGTGAAGGAGCCACAGCAGCCTCGTGTCAGCAGGGCCACGGCTCATCGGAACCCACCTTGCTGGATTTGTTCTTCTTCGCCTCCTGCACCTTCTTCTTGAACTCGGACTCTTGTTTGGGATTCAGAGCCAGCAGCTGTTTGGCGGGCTTTGGAGCCGTTTCTGCTTTAGTTTCAGTCATTTCTAATAATCAATGATACCACACATATGATGTGGAATAAAAACAACTCCGTCAGTCTGCTCTCAGTGAACCACGTTGGTGTCCTCATCCGCTGGCTCATGTGGTAACACCCAACGAGAGGGCAGGAGGGTCTGCCTGTGTTATGTTCAGTGTGAGCCGGGCGCAGCGCCCTCTACAGGTGAGGAGGAGCAACTCTGATTAAACAGCAGCAGTAATTGCAACTGGACGGATGGGAATGCTGACACAGCATTCCAACTATCTGCTGCTATGCTACGCACGAAATAATGTATTATTCCGCCGGGTTCTTTTGCGCTGCTTCTTCTCCCACATTGAACATCGCAGAAACTCCGTCCAAACATCAAAACGTTCAGCTCGGTCGGGAATCAATGGCTATTGCTTTTATCATTCATAACTTTCATAATTCCAGAGATACATCCCATAATACATCCCATTTTTAACATGGAAGTCAATGGAGAACTCTTCAGACTTCAACAATCTTCATGCAACTTCAACTGCTAACGGTTCCTTCTTCAACTGCTAACTGCTCCTTCATACATTCACTCAGAAACCTCATTCCAACTTTAAAATGTTACACATCTTTCTGACATTATTCGTGTAACACAACTTTTAAATCTGATTCGTACTTTTACAGATATTAAAAATTGTTCAGACCTTGGTAAAGAGGCCTTCTTCAGATTTTAGAGTGCGTGATGATGTCACAGAGTGGAGGAAAGATTTCATTTTGCCTTCATATTTTCTTTTAAACCTGCCATAATTCCCAAACCCTACATTCCTGAGACATAATTTGTCATGACAAACGTAGGAAACATCTCGTAGCTTGAAAGATTAAAAAAAATTGAGCAAAATAATTAAACAAAATGCCTCTTGAGGGCATGAAGTGACAAAAACGTTCAACCTGTCTCCATTAAACCCCATTGTAAGTTCAGCCTCACCTTTCCCCATCACAGCACCAGGGTGACATTATTATACCACATTATTAACCCGAAAGTACACAAAAAGTACACTTTAGATGCTCAACTTCCTTGAGATGCTTCAGGCTGTGAAATTTCACCTATATCTGTTACGGTTCTTCAACAAAACGTTCACATGTAACAGGTTTATCTCTCATTCAGAACAATGAAAATGCTCTCCTCTCACTGATCACCATGGAAACCTTTGATCTCTGGACACGTCGTTAGCTCAAATATAAACACTTGTGTCATGGAACACGATGATGTCATAACTCCAATTGACATAATTAGAGCAGCAGACTAATGACGTGTTCACTGGAGTTTAACAGACTGTCTGAGCCTATTCTTTTCCGTCTGATGGAGACTTCATACTGACTTCAACATGTTCCACATATTTTAGACATTATTGGTGACATATGCTTTAAGTTCTAAAGTTTTCAGTTCAAATATTCTGCTGCTTTTTCATGCATTTAGACTTTTATTTTCTTGTTCTTATTTCACATTCAAGTCCCCCTCTATTCATGAACCCTTTAAAGTACCACACCACTTATATACCATATTTGCCACATTTATTTGATCACCATGGAAACCTTTGATCTCTGGACACATCGTTAGCTCAAATATAAACACCTGTGTCATGGAACACGATGATGTCATAACTCCAACTGACATGCTTAGAGCAGCAGACTTCAG